GGATCTGCCCCTCCCCATGACCATCTACAAGGTCAGGGCTAGGGCAAACAACAATGGGCCCTGTGAGCTGGAAGCCTACGAGCCCCAATCACCCACAGCCAGGCTATCAAAACTAACAAGGAAGGAGGATCTGGACACAACATATGAGTGGGGAGGGCTGATGCAAGTCAGAGTGGTGGGGGACCCCGAGAATGGCTTCTATGTATACGAAAGCACCACGCCAGTGGCCAAGCTCCCTTTCGACCCGGCTGAATGGGAACGGCCTGAATCTCAACCCATGCACACATGGGATTACACACAGACAAAAGGGGGTACAGGGCATCTCGCCAGGATCAACAGATCAACCACATAATAGCAGGCAGATGGGCACGGGACTCGCCACTGGAGCCGAAGCTCTCAGAATCCTTTACCTGGTCCATATACGAGAAAATTATGCCCACGAACCACAGGTCTCTGGAATGGCAGATCCTCCACCGTTGCCTCCCCAGCCCTGACTGGAATGTGTCGCGAACCGACCTTGAACAGAAAGGGAAGCCGTCACCCACCTGTGCCTACTGTGGCAGGTCCCGGCAGCCAGCCCCAGCAACCCTCGAACACTGCCTGCTGGCGTTTCCTATGGTTACCCAGTTATGGCAGTGGTGGGACGCGGCCTTCCACTCCCTCACTGGCTACCATATCCCTTGGGATCTTGGGCTCCTGCTACTGGGAGATAAGCGCCAGCTGCTGGCCCACTGGTCCCCCTTTGCAACCAACCTCTTCTCCTACACAAGGCTGCACCTCCGCATACTTGCTGGAGAGCCCGATGCTCCTTCGAAAGGAAGGACCACCAATTTGACCTGCAGCAGGCACAACAAGCCATCGTGGAAGCCATCAGGGCCGCGACCCAGCAAGCCTGGAAGTCCATGAAGCGACAACACTTTGAAGAGAAAGACCCTGTTGCCAGACAAGCAATCTGCGACTCCTACATGCAAATATGGCAGGACCCGAACGGAATGTTTTCGGTCCTGGCCAATGATCTGAACATCATATGGAAACCATGGACGACCACGGAACCCACTTGGCAGAGGAAGCTGATTTCCTGGTCCCCTATCTCCAACCTAACTTCGTCCTCCTCCTGAGCCAACTGCCACATCCGCCGCCAAACCAATTGCAACCTGCTCAGTCACCACTGCCCCCCCCCCCCCTCAGCTGCCCCGCCGCCACCGCCACCTCTCC